TCCAAGATTGAAGCGGTCACTAATTGGGAGAGGCCCAAGAACGTGAAGGAGATAAGGAGTTTCCTCGGTTTAGCGGGGTATTACCGCAAATTCGTGGAAAAGTTCTCGGTGATAGCATCTCCACTCACGAAGCTCATTAAAAAGGGGGCTAAGTTTGTGTGGGATGACAAGTGTGAGAAGGGGTTTCTTGAGCTAAAGAAACGTTTGACCGAAGCACTAGTGCTTGCCTTGCCCGTGCAAGGGTTAGGGTATGACATCTACAGCGATGCTAGCATTCAGGGACTGGGATGTGTACTGATGCAATCAGGGAAGGTAATTGCTTATGCTTCTCGGCAGTTGAGGAAGCATGAAGTAAACTACCCCACACATGATCTGGAGTTAGGTGCTGTGGTATTTGCATTGAAGATTTGGAGGCACTACCTCTACGGAGAGTTGTGTCACATTTACACCGACCACAAAAGCCTGAAGTATGTGTTCACTCAGAAAGAGTTGAACATGAGACAGAGAAGATGGATGGAGTTGATCAAGGATTACAACTTGGTCATTGACTATCATCCAAGCAAGGCTAATGTAGTAGCCGATGCATTGAGCAGGAAGAGCTCATCATCGGGGGTTCTACTCACATGCTTACGGGCACTGAGGGCACGCGTGGAGGTATCCACGGATGGGGCGTTATTGGCCAGATTTGAGGTGAGACCCACCTTGTTAGATGAAATCAGAACATGTCAAGGCAATGACGAGGAATGTCAGAAAATCCGGGAACGGATGCTTGTGGGGCCCGTCGAGGGTTTCCGTGAGAGAGAAGATGGACTTCTACTATTCAAGGAACGAGTGTGTGTGCCATCGGATGAGGAGCTCCGAAAATCTATCCTTGAGGAGGCTCACTCATCTGCGTATGCCATGCACTCGGGCGGTACAAAGATGTATCGAGACTTGAAAGAAAGTTACTGGTGGTCAGGGATGAAGAGAGAGATTGCAGAATACGTGAGTCGTTGCCTTACCTGTCAACAGGTTAAAGCAGAGCACCAACACCCAGCAGGGTTACTACAACCACTTACCATTCCAGAATGGAAGTGGGAGCATGTTACCATGGACTTCGTGGTGGGTCTACCACGGACAGTTAGGAACTACGACGCAGGATGGGTGGTAGTCGATAGGCTGACCAAGAGCGCTCATTTCCTACCTATCAACACTACCTATACGCTCGAGCGGTTGGCCAAATTGTACATAGATGAGATTGTGAGACTGCATGGGGTTCCGGTTACTATAGTATCGGATAGAGACCCACGGTTCACATCACGGTTTTGGCCTAAGTTCCAGGAATCCATAGGTACGAAATTGAGGTTTAGCACCGCGTTTCATCCTCAAACGGATGGGCAATCTGAACGGGTGATTCAGATCTTGGAGGACATGTTAAGGGCATGTGCCTTGGAGTTCCAGGGGAGCTGGGACAATCAGTTGGCTTTGGTGGAATTCGTCTATAACAACAGTTATCAGGCGAGTATAGGCATGCCTCCATACGAAGCATTGTATGGGAGGAAATGCCGGACACCATTGTGTTGGGACGAGGTCGGCGAGGCTAAGCTCGAGGGCACCAAGTTAGTCGAGATCACTAAGGAGAAGATAAAAGTCATACAGGATAGGCTCAAGGCTGCCCAAGACCGGCAGAAGAGCTATGCTGCTAAACGTCGGAGGACGTTGGAGTTTGAGGTTGGTGACGAGGTATTTCTGAGGGTATCACCTTGGAAAGGGATCATCAGGTTCCTCAGTCGGGGTAAGCTTAACTCACGTTACATAGGTCCGTTCAAAATCCTTGAAAGGATTGGGGTTGTAGCTTACCGACTTCAGTTGACTCCGGAGTTAGAAAAGATTCATAATGTATTTCATGTTTCTATGCTCAAGAAGTATGTGCGGGACCCGTCACATATTCTTGAGAAACCACCGGTGGAAATCCGAGAAGACCTGCACTATACGGTGCAGCCGGTGAAAATCATGGACCGACAGGTCAAGAAGCTAAGGAGCAAAGAGGTGCCGATGGTAAAAGTACTTTGGAAGAGTGATCGTGTCGAGGAGCAAACTTGGGAAGTGGAGACCCAAATGAGGGAACAATATCCATTTCTGTTCGATTAGACGCGTGGATTTCGGGGACGAAATCCCAAATAAGGGGGGTAGAACTTGTAACACCGTCCCCGAGTATTTGTACAGTACCGAATTATGTATTGAACCCTGAGAAATGAATAAAGGCATTTTTACGTGATTGTAAAATTTTTATCATTTCTTTTACGTGGATAGTAAAATTCACGTGGGGCCCACACCGGATGTGGGGCCGCCCGATATTATCGGGACCACATATTATATTAATCTCGGACTAGATAATTCTTATATGGTGGTGGATATCCTAATTGGGCCATGACAATGACACAGGGTTGACCGGTTGGTCAAACGGGGCCAAATTATCGGTATCGACAAATTTATCAGATAACAGCCCAAAAAGGGATTCCGGAGACTTCTAAATTAAAGTTGAGGAATGCATATTCATTCTAAGGTCCAATAAGGATTGGGAACAAGTGTTATATTTTATTTTACCCGATAAAATAAAATATACTTAAAACAGTTCGGAAAATACAACTTTCGGGACCGATTGTACACTCCGGGACACAAAGGGTTGACCTCCCACATGAGTGGGGGCCAACCCACGTTCTTAAGCTGGTAAATGTATAGGGGAGCCGCACCTTTAGGATGCTGAAAGGGAGTGAGAAGGGGGTTGGAGACAAGGTGTGAAAGAAAGGGGGTCCCTCCCTCATATCATTGATGAATAATCCAAAAAGAACACTCTTAACCACCCCAGCCCATACACTGCGTCCCAACCATCATCTTGGAGGACAGAAGCTCTGCAAAAACTCCATTTTCATCCATCATACACGCACCGAGTTAAGGGAGGAAGAAGAAAGGAAAAAGAGAAGAGAAAAGAGGAGTTTAGGTGGGAAAACTTGTGTTTAACAAGGTAATGACTCCATAAACCCCATTTCTTGTTCTTCAATCATTTTATACGATTATACAATCATATTCCACGCCCTAGTATTGTTCTACACGTTTGGAAGTTTAGAATGAGGGGTTGGAAGGTGGTTCTAAGTCCAAGAACGGACTTAGAAGCCAAAGTGACCGGTTCGCCGGAAAATAACCTTTTTGAGGTTATTTGTATTACTATGGGTTTTATGATGATAAAAACTTGTTAGTAACTTGTCTAAGGTATTCAAGGAACATTCACGGAGTTGAAAGGGTCGCCGGAGTTGTCGCCGGAGTTCGTTGAAGTTCGCCGGAGTTTCGGCGGAGCTAAATCGGGAAGGCTAAAACTTCATAAGCTTCATTAATGTGAGAAGACGGCTTTATGCTTTATAACTTTTGCGTGAGGCATGAGATTACCTAAAGTAATCAAAAACATTTTTATGGAATGATTAAGAATAATCAAGTGTTTGCTTATGCCATGATTTTGCATAAAACATAGTTGAAAAGCATGTTATATAGGTTTGGTGATTAAAAATGTGATAACTTATTATGTATGGTGTTCCAGGGATCCAAAATGGCATTTTTGGATCAAGGACGTCAAGAAGTATAAGTGTATAAAATTTCACGTTAATCAGACTTCATTTGGACGGTCAAACGAGCGTTGACCGCCAAGACGAAGGTGATACCCGACCGGGTATGGGTAAATACCCGACCGGGTTTTGATTAAAAATGGCTCCAGAAGCCACTGCCACACTAGACCCGACCGGGTATGGGTATAGACCCGACCGGATCTCAAGTAAAGTTGGCTCCAGGGGCTACTGCCTCACCCCTCCCGACCGGGTAAGGTTGGATACCCGACCGGGTATTGGGTTATGCTCAGAACGGGCAGTTTTGAGTAGGTTAACGTGGGCCGTTCGGGTGGGACCCACCCAAGTTGGATCCTAAGGATTGTTATATGACTATAGGGCTAGGCATTGTCCATAGTTGAAGGAATGAAAGGTTAGCCATATCCAGGTTAGGATTTGGTAGAGGATAGACTGGGGATTGAGTGCCCTTGGACGGTAAATGATCCAGAATACTCCAGGTGGGGTCGAGTACCCTTGGACGGTAAATGATCCAGAATACTCCAGGTGGGGTCGAGTACCCTTGGACGGTAAATGATCCAGAATACTCCAGGTGGGGTCGAGTACCTTTGGACGGTAAATGATCCAGAATACTCCAGGTGGGGCCGAGTACCCTTGAACGGTAAATGATCTTAAATACTCCAGGTTGGGTTGAGTGTCTTGGACGGTAAATGATCCTAAAACACTCGGTAGTATGAATCGAAGGTAGGCTATAGCTTGTGAGCTAGGCAACCGGGAAAGGAGTGAGAAAAGTCAGGTAAGAACTTTGTCTCTAAAAGACTCTTTAAGATAAATGACCTACGGGTTGAGTATTTTACGAGTATATATACAGTATGTATCATCGGGCAGATGAGAGACATCTATATATATGTATCACCCTATTTTTGGGTCTCGTGTCTGAAACATTAGTTATTCTTCATATAGCCTGCTTGTCACTAGTACTTCTATGGAGTACTGACCCCTCCGGAGGCCCTCACATTTTTCAGGTTGAGGCTAGAGTCCTACTACCTGCACCTTTGCCTAGGGTGATCATTCGAGGAGGAAGACGTGGTTCGTGCTTCCATTCGTATTTTTGAAATTTATAAACTGCTCATGGATTTTAGAACAATGTTTTCATTAAAACAGTTGGGGGCCTTGCGTGCCCGTGTTTGCCACGTGTGGCTAAGTACCAAACATATTATTATTTCCGCATTTGTTTGATTATGATATTGATTGTATGTGTTTACTAATCGGTTTGGCAATAGAATAAATCGGACGCCTTGTACAATTCAATTGGGATGAACTGTTGTTGTTCTTATCGGGTTGTACGACGGTTGTCTACGTGACTCGGATGCGGTACGGGGCGTGACAATTAACCAGTACTGAAGCACGTTAAGATTAACCGGTTTGGCATTACTTCACAACTTTCTGAGTTTTTATAATCAACAATTCAAGAATCCAATGGTAAAGAGTGAAAACCAAATGACCAACAAAGGCAAATGCCTTTTTCTTATACTTTCAATTCATACCTTCTAAGCTCTTACAAGGAAAAACAAGAACAGATAAGATAAACAAAACACATCATCAATTCAATGCTTAGCATCAACCCCAGAACTGGAAAAACCAAAGAAACAAAAAGTTCTTCAATACCTTGAATCAAAATTGCAAAAATGGATATAGTTCAATATTGCATCATTCAATCAATCAACCATGCCTGGCCTGGAAATCCTTCATGAAAGCAACAAGCTTTTCAACTCCGGCCAATGGCATAGCATTGTAAATTGAAGCTCTCATTCCTCCAACTGACCTATGTCCTTTAAGCTGCACCATCTTCTCAGCAGCCGCCTCCTTTATAAACTCTGCTTCCAACTCAGATTTCGCCAATGTGAAGGGCACATTCATCAATGACCTCACTGATTCCTCAACCGGGCATCTGTAGAACCCATTGCTTGAATCAATGGTCTCATACAGAATTCCAGCTTTCTTCTTGTTCTTCTTCTCCACTTCTCCCAACCCTCCCTGTCCCAAGAGATCTTCAAAAACTAGCCCACACATGTAAATCCCGTAACATGGGGGAGTGTTGTACAGTGAATTATTATCCGCGTGGATCTTGTAGTCCAGCATCACCGGTGTGGATGGTTGTGCATTTCCGATCAGATCTTTCCGGATTATAGCTATGGTGACGCCGGAAGGGCCAACATTCTTTTGAGCTCCGGCGTAGATGATCCCGAATTTGGAAACATCCACGGGTTTCGAACAGAAATTCGACGACATGTCGGCGATTAGAATGGTGCTAGGGTTTCCGGGCGTGGGGTAATTTTTGAATTCCACGCCGTGAATCGTCTCATTGGCGCATATATGCAAATACCTGGCGTTCGAGGATTGTTCTAGAGACTCGAAGCTCGGGATCTTGGTGTATTTCTCCGATTTGCCCGACCAGATCAGATTGGGCTTGCAGTACTTTCCGGCTTCCTTGTAAGCCTTGTCTCCCCACGATCCGGTGACTATAAAATCGGCGGTGTCTTCAGGGGAGCAGAGATTGAGCGGAACGGCGGAGAATTGTGTGGTGGCGCCGCCCTGGAGGAAGAGGACGGCGTATTCATCAGGGATGCCGAGGAGAGCCCGCAGATCTGCCTCTGCTTTCTGGATAATGGATAGAAACTCCTTTCCACGGTGGCTCATCTCCATCACCGACATGCCGGAGCCGTTCCAATTGACGAGCTCAGCCTGTGCCTTCCTTAGCACGTTCTCGGGGAGAGTGGCAGGACCAGCCGCGAAGTTGAAGACCCGATCTGAAGAAACAGCGGAGGGCGGTGGAGTTTGGACATGTGCAACGGCGGCGTTGGCTGTTGAGTTGCAAGAAATGGACACAGGCTTAGTGGAAGAGGGGAGGGTGACGGCGGTGGGGAAGGAAGAGACAACGGAATTCAGGCGGTGTTGATGGAAGGTGGCTCTTAGGGCAGTGGTGGCTGACATGGAAGCCATATTTCCTTCTTAATGAAGCTTCACCTTCGTAGGGGATGAAATCTTTATATCACTGCACTGGAGAAGGGAGAGAAAACCCCCCGCCTTTTATCCAGGCATCGGCGCACCTTTGTTTTTGCTAAGAGCGCACCCAATTTAGGGCGTTGTTGGACAATTATGTCCTAACGTGTTCAATTACCCAAATTATAACATTTTGCTATCAGCGTGAATTACACTATTTCACCAAGTCTTAGCTTATTTTTACTTGGACGGTAATTCATTCCAGATCGGACCAGACCAAACCAGACCAGATCAAAATAGATAGACCAGACCAGACCAGACCAGACCAGACCAGACCAGATCAGACCAGACCAGACCATATTTTATTATTATTATTATTATTATTATTATTATTATTATTATTATTATTATTATTATTATTATTATTATTATTATTATTAATATTATTATTATTATTATTATTATTATTATTATTATTATTTTTATTATTATTATTATTATTATTTTTATTAGGGGTGTGCATCGGTTCAAAACCGGACCGTACCGTACTGAACCGGACCGGATATCATTCCGGTTCGATCCGGTTTCGGTTATTCCGGTCCGGTTCGGTCCGGTTTTCCGGTTTAAACCGGCTAGTGCACACCCCTAATTATTATTATTATTATTATTATTATTATTATTATTATTATTATTACTATTATTATTATTATTATTATTATTAGGGGTGTGCACCGGTTCAAAACCGGACCAGACCGTACCGAACCGGACCGAATATCATTTCGGTTCGATCTGGTTCCAGTTTTTAAGGTCCGGTTTTGTGGTTTAAACCAGATAGTACACACCCCTAATTATTATTATAATTTTTATTATTATTATTGTTATTATTATTATTATTATTGTTGTTATTTTTATTGTTATTATTATTTATAATTATAAATGACTAAAATATAATTATTTATGGATTATAATATATATAAAAAATAAAATCTTTATGCAAAAAATATAAAAATAAAATTTCAGACCAAACCAGACCAGACCAGACCAGACCAGACCAGACAACACCAGACCAGACCAGACCAGACCAGCAAATTACAGTCCAAGTATAAACATCCTTATACCTCATCTTTAATAGGAAATATTGTTTTGTTTATAATTTAAGGTTTTTGAAAAACATTACTTATAATTTGCAACCAAATTAAAATTAGGATGGGGAAGTGAATGTATTTGAAAAGATATCGTAACACTATTTTAATCAAACTAATTATTGTTTGAAAAACGTTGGTGTAGTACGTAGATTGATATTATTATACGAAGTAATAAAGTTTTCAAATACAAAATTTTATTATACAAAATAATGAAATAATCAAAATCCAATACAAAGTTTTTTTTTTCAAAATACAAATTGAGTATTTTTAATATTCAAACAAGTTTCGTAAACAATGAAAAGAATGAAATAATTATAATCATAGTAAAATAAAAATTCCTTATGTGTGTGTATACGTATATATAGGTAGGGAATGAAGATAAGAAATTAGTGGGGGGGTTTAGAACATATTGTCAGTCCGTCGGCTAACGTTGAGATTGAATGAACATGTTGAAATTGTAAAATTCTGACTGAATTTACTGAGATTGACATTGACATTGAGATTTAGAATAATGGAAAAATATAAAATACATATTTTAGTAAAAATATAAAAGAAACCCTATATGAAAAACAGTTAAACGATCATATAGAGTAACTTCAACTAAATTAGTCAGAAAGTAATTACAATTTTACTTATATTGATTATTATAGAATTCATCACGCAAAATTAAAAGTTATGTTTCTTACAATAAGTTGGTTGATGAAGGTGACAAAATGAAATTATGGTTATCAAGCGGAATTTGTGATATATTTAGATGTTCATTTTTTTGACTTTTATAACTATTATGCAGAGTCTTTTCGGTAATCTTGAAACTGGATAAATCGATTGAATCTGTAACAAGTCGTAAAATTCTGCCTGAAGCGGTTGAATTGGTGAAATCGACTGAATTATGAAAAATTGTTTATAAATCATAGTCTACTAATAAATACATAAATAAATAAAATTATTATTTGAAAATAAAAAAATATTTTGATCATTAAAATCCTGTAAACAAATGTAAACGAAACACAAATATTTAAAATTTATTTAACAAAAAGAATCTTGAAAAAGATTTGAAATTAAAAAAAAAAAGGGCAAAAAAATGTGCGGCTGCATCTATCATCCTTTGTAGTTTGTACATTAGGTAATTGAAAAAGGTTTCATTTTAGACTTGGCATGGATGAGTTTAATGTGCAAGGTTTCAAAAACAAGTTTAAAAGTGTCAACGTGGGTTAGATTAAGTAATTTTTGTGGTGCGCCTAGCAACCCCCAATGTAATTTCCGCCTTTGCCTTCCTTCTCTTCTCTTCTTCCGGGCTGACCATTTCTCGCCTTTGCCTTCTCTTCTTCTACGTTTACCATTTTTGGCCTAAGCTTACCTTCTCCTCTTCTCCTCTCCCTCCATTTGTCACCGCTATTCTGCTCTTACCAGCTTCTCCTCTCTTTCCTTCACCGGATTCTACGGTTACTATTTCTCGCCCTCCTTCCCGATCGCTTCACCGCACCATTTCTCACCTACGCTTTCCTTCTACTCTTCTTCTCCCTTTCCTCTGTTTCTCTGAGCCGCAGTTGAATACGAATTCACTGACTCCACCGTTTGAATTCATCGAGGTATGATTTTCATACAGTGCTCTTCAATTTTCCTCTAATTTCAATTTTTTTCTGAATCGAAATTAGATTTTAAATTTTCATTGGCAGTAGAAGATGAATTAACTCACTCTGTCCCTTGAGTTCATCGAGGTATGATTTTACTACAGTACTCTTCAAGGCAAGGTTCCCTATATGTATTAATTTTGATTGAAATTTAAAGTTTTTTCTTCTTAATTAAAATTATATTTTAAATTTTCATTGGCAGCTAATGAACCTACTATTTCAGTTTTTGAAACCTGGGCGCCCTCACAGTACTCTGTTGGCTGGTTACTTCATCTTGGCAAAGAGAGAACTTTTGTGGAAAGTAAATGATGGAGTTATGGAACTAGGCCCAGAGCCTGATCAGCCCAAGCCCCGAACTTGGACCTGTGGATCCAAGTCCACAACCTGGAGCCTGTCTGCCAGCTCAGCGGGGAGCCTGCCAGTCCGGTCGACCTCCCAGCCCGAAAGAGTAACGGTCAAACAATTAATGCGCTATTAATTATGTATTTAATTCCGTATTAATGTTGTAATTAATTAGTCATTATTATCGATAGCGGTTACGATTTGTATACGCCTATAAAAGGCGGGTTGTAATTCAGATTAGGAAAGACAACTTCTATATGCTATTTCTGGCTAACTTTCCATATTCGTACTTTCCTAATTCTTGCTTGAGTGTCGTACGTAGCTTTCCTAAAAGCCTACGAGCGTCCTATTTTGGACCAACATTGGTGCTTTCATTGAGAGCTTTATCTCTCATCACTTTGGTAAGAATTAACAAGAAAAATCCAGAAAAGGTCAAAGATTTCTAGCAATTTTTCATATCTGGAGAGGAGGTAAGAACAGAAGAATCTGGTGACCCGTAGCTTCACGACGGCAGCCACCGCTTGCCTAACCGCCCGCTGCTCACCCTTCCAACGTACCACTGACACAACGTGAGGAATCTGTCGATTGAAGTCGCCTGAGGTCTCAGCTCCCCCACTCCTCCGCTTTTCCGATCATTGCTAGCAACGTGGGGATCTCCGTCGTCGTTGAATTCTCCGAGCGTCGTCTTCGCTAGTATCTTCGTTGTCCGGTCGCTCACTACTTCCCTCCCCAACCTCGCCGCTCACACTTAGGTGTTGTGCCATTAAAGGTGGGTTGGGCGGATCTGGAATCCTGCTGTAGCGGTAATCTGCGATGGTGCTCTGACGGGATCAAGGCTTCGAGCTGCCACGATGAACTCAGCAACTTGACCGGCCTTTTCCTCTCTCCTCGCCTCCAAAATGGTTTGACAGTTCCTCTGGTTTCCGTCGATAAGGGAGTGGCTGATTAGGCGTGTAACTACACAAGGGCAGCAGTTCCAAGTTGGGCTATTAAGAGGGGTCATGCTAGGACTAAGAAGGACAGGCCACATGCGGCCCAATCAAACTCTTTGATGGTCCAAATTTCAGCCACATGCCCAAGCTTCAGCCCAATTCAAAGCTAAGTACTCCAAAGCTTTCTCCATATTATTAGTATGTGGAAATATATGATTTTAAAAAATCATAAATTAAAACATTGAAAAGATATTTTAAGTGGTGTAATTGCTTTAACTCTTGTTGATCGTGTGTAATTTTAACATTGAAAAATGGACTTATGAAATCCGATCACTCACCTACACCGGACGAGCACACACACTCGTACAATGGCCGAGCACACACACTCGCGCCACCGGGTCATGTCATATGGGTGTGGCGATTAATAAGCTCCAATATAAATGTTAATACCTCACACTCTTGACTTCTTACGGGTTCTTGTGTGCTCTTACCTCTTCCTAGTGCATCACACTCCGACCTCGGGGGACGAGTCATCCGTTCAAAAGTCTTTACTTGCGGGTTCGAACTACTAACCTCGGGCGGCGAGTTAAACTCTTGTTAGGGGCCTAGAGCCACGCTTTTCCGAGCAATTTTTTCACTTAATTGACGTTCACATTTCTCGAAGAGGTTGATATACTTTAGTTCTCTGGGGTTGGATTATCCATTCGAGTGAGGAGTCCGCCTCACTTACTCGCGGATTCAATCTTTCTTTCGGAGACTGGGTTGAGGCCTAACTTGGGAACTTGATGTCACTCTTTTCAAGTAGTGAGTCCGACTCGCTTACATACTGAGCCATGGTTTGACACCAGGCCAGATGCTCTATTCTACACTAGTTTCTTTTATGTGTAGGTACAACTGAATGAAGTGGGGGACTGAGGGTCTTACCGTCTTCAAGGAAGCAAATGACGAACCTGACGAGTCTGAGCTCAACGAGAAGAACAGTTCTAGCCATCCTATTCGCAGATGGCGACCATTACAATAAAGGCTGAGGATCTCACCTCTTGCTTCATCTTGGGGGCGTCAGATGTACTCTTTTTCCCTTCATTAGGATTTTTTCCCATTGAGTTTTTTCTAATGAA